GGGTACCACAAGGTTCCGTCTTAGGCCCAGTACTCTTCAATATCTTCATAAACAACTTAGATGAGGGAATAGAAGAGGAACTTACCAAATTTGCAGATGATACTAAGCTGGCAGGAATAGCTAACACCCTAGAAGATAGGCTCAAGTTCCAGATGGATCTTGACAGACTTGAACACTGGGCCCTATCTAACAAAAATAAATTCAGTGTAGAGAAAAGTAAAGTCTTACACTTAGGCAAGAAAAACCAAAAGTACGCATATAGACTGGGTGAAACCAAGCTTAATACCAGTAAATGTGAGAGGGATCTTGGAGTCTTAGTGGATTGTCTTGATTGCATTGGCTTTTTTTGGCTGCCACTGCTCATATTTAATTGGTTAATTAAATATGAGCAGTGGCAGCCAAAAAAAGCCAGCGCAATCCTAAATTGCATTAATAGAGGGATACAATCAAGATCAAATGAGGTACTAATACCACTCTATAAAGTCTTAGTAAGACCACACCTAGAATACTGCATCCAGTTTTGGCCACCACACTATAAAAAAGATGTTGAGACTCTAGAAAGAGTGCAGAGAAGAAGAACCAAGATGGTTAGGGGTTGGAGGCTAAAACATACAATGAATGGTTGCAGGAACTGGGCATGGCTTGTCTAGTGAAAAGAAGGACCAGGGGAGACATGATAGCAGTGTTCCAATATTGAGGGGCTGCCACAGAGAGGAGGGGGTCAACCTATTTTCCAAAGCACCTGAAGACCAGACAAGGAATAATGGATGTAAATTGAACAATGAAAGATTCAACCTAGAAATAAGGAAGAATTTTCTGACAGTGAGAACAACCAACCAATGGAACAGCTTGCCTTCAGAAGTTGTGGGTACTTCGTCTTCTGGCTGATATCACGGCGAGATAGGACGTGAGGTGCAGATCTCCGCACTTCCACACCAAGTTCTCCCCATTGGAGGGCTCCAAAAGGAGCTAAAGACACCCTATAGGGGTAGTGAAGAAAAGAGAGGCCCCCGGCAGGTTGCGGAGAGTCGCAACTGTCCCGCTTGACCCAAGGCTTTTTTCCCTCTCATCCACAGTGAGGAGAAGAGGAGGCCATCATGGCTGCCATGAAGCTGGAACACAGAGTCAACAAAGAAAATGCAGCAGCGGTATAGATGAACAGTGATTGGAACTGGGTGAGATTATTTCTTTTTTAGAACCCAACCCTAAAAGGAAAAAAAAATCCAGGAAAAGAGATTCTTAGAACTATCTGTTAAAGCGGCAAACAATTACTTAGAGAAAAATCCCAGACCTGAAAAAAAGGAACTAAGGCAAGAAAAGTAAAAAACTGGGAGTTTTAAAACATAGAACATTGGCCTTTTAAACTGGGTAGGCGCTGTTTTGGAAAGACATTTTAAAATGCTGGAACTATCTACTTAAATAACTGACTTTGCTTCCATAAATCAAATTAAAATTAGATTAAACACCTATCAGATTTGAGACAATGCTGAAACCTAAGCTGAGGGTGCCACCTACTGATGAATGGAAAATATACCATACTCCTACAAGTCTGGGAAAATTTCTGATAAGAGAAATAAAAAACATTTATCTGGAGGACTGTGGTGATACCTACTGTTCTATATTTATCTACTGTATGATTACTGGAGGTTCAACTGCGAGAACAAGGAAGATACCTAAGTAAAGAGACTCTTGAATTTTAAGATATATGACTAAACTTATAGAGTGGACTTAAGGAGATATTTGGAAAACTTCCTGGACTACCTAAATGGAACTGATTGAATAAACCTGGGATATAAAGAACTGTGATTATTGTACTCTCTAAGGAGCAACATTAGACCTGAATATATGGTTTTTGGACTATTGAGCAAGAGTGGGATATACTCTTGCTTTAATTTATTTATTTAATTTATTACTTTAATAAGACGAGATGCTTCATCGGGGTAAATGAGTGGAATTTTAAAAGAAATGGCGTTGATGTTCCATTAATGACATTGTGACAAAAAACCACAGGAAGATAAAGAACCAAATGCATGGCATAGACGGGAAAATAGAAAATATTCTCCAAGGGACAATGGAAAAAGATTGAAGTGTCCAGGAAAGGAAGGTGACAACAGAAAGAATGGAGGTAAAGATAGAACAGACAAATCAGCAAATAAAACAAGAAGACAAGAAGGAGAAGACAATAAAGATAATAATGACTGATGAAACAAATTAAAGGAAAAATATTTTAAGAGATTTAAAAATGGAATTGGATAATCAGGAAGCTACTTTCGAAAGGGAGATAGGGGCTTAGGCAGACACTCTGGAGGCCTGGCAGCATAAGATGGGAGAGATGGGAGAAATATTTAGACTGAATAGTAAAGATATAGATGTTGATAGAGACAAAGGTTAAAGAGAGGAATATGGGAGGCAAGCCAAAAAACAAATAAGAATTGTAGTATTAAAATGGGCAAGAGATTTATTTATTTATTTATTTATTTATTTATTTAATTGGATTTATATGCTGCCCTATCTCCACAGGACTCAGGGCCACTCACAACAATAAACAAAACAAACAAACCATTAAAAACAAAGTCCATGATAAAATTGACAAAAATTCAATAAAACCCCATTAAGTTCTATTAAAAACCCCATCAGTCTAGGGCGGCTAGATGAAATAGCCACGTTTTCAGCCCACGGCAGAAGGAGCAAAAGTCGGGGGCCACCCGGAGCTCCAGAGGGAGTTGATTCCAAAGGGTGAGTGCGCCTACAGAGAAAGCTCTCTCCCTTGGGGTCGCCAGCCGACACTGTCTGGCCGGCGGCACCCTGAGTAGGCCCTCCCTGTGAGAGCGCACCGGGCGATGGGAAGCTGTTGCTGGCTGCAGATGGTCCGCCAAGTATCCCAGGCCTAAGCCATGTAGGGCTTTATAGGTGATCACCAGCACCTTGAATCTCACCCGGAGGGCAACCGGCAACCAATGCAAGTCATGCAGGAGAGGTGTAACATGGGAGTGTCGGGACACTCCCATCACTACCTGCGCGGCCGCATTCTGCACCAGTTGAAGCCTCCGAGTGGTCTTCAAGGGCAGCCCCATGTAGAGAGCATTGCAGTAGTTGATGCTGATGATGGATAGAAAGGAAATGCCTTTTAATATAATGGTCACCTAACTAAAAGCTAGAATAGAGGTAGAAATAAAAATACACACTTTTACATAATAGAATAAAAGCAATAGCTAGACAGAAAGATTAGAGGTTGAAAGATGCATTATTATGTATGTTTAAATAATATGGTGATTGGCATTAGAATGGCACACTGAAACATTGAACAACTAAATAATGAAGGTTTATATCTCAGTATAAAAATGTGCATCAACACTAGGACTAGTAATGGTGGCCTGACTAAAAGCTAGAATAGAGGTAGAAATAAGAAATAGGGGGAAAATTAGTATACACATTTTTATATAATAGAATAAAAGAAAAACAAACATGTCTATTAACACTATGATTACATACATTTGACTAATGTAACAAATATTATTAACATCATTATTGTTATTTGTATCAAAATGAATGACACCCAGATGCCACACTGTTCATGTATTGATGTTGATGTATATTTAAAAATCAAATTAAAAATATATACAAAAGAAGGTGTTTCATCACTGGAAGCTTTCAAGAAGAGACTGGAATGCCATCTGTCAGAAATGGTGAAGGATCTCCTGCTTGGGCGGGGGGTTGGACTAGATGACCTACAAGATCCCTTCCAACTCTGTTATCTGTTAAAAATAACTGCTGCAGGTGTACTAATATGTAAGTGGACTGTTTGAATGTACCAGTGGATAATTTGGGAAGAAAAAAAGAATAAGCAAAAAACAAGTAGATAAGAAGAAAATAAGAAAATGTCTTAATTGTCCTCTTAACTGATTAAAGAATTTGAAACAGGCTGTTTGCTCTACAATATCTCATCTTTCCAAAGATGATGCAAAAAATATGAATTTATACCAGCAAAAAATTAAAGCTTACTTTATTTGAAAAGGACAGTGATATAAACTTTTAAGAAATACACTTTTCTATATTCAGATCCTAAGAGCTTTAATAATCTTATGGGTTTGGGATTTATTTTTGTAAAATATAGTCTTTAAGACATGTTTGACTCTTGACATCTTTATGGATCTATCAGACTGTTAGAAAAATATTATCATATCAGCAGTTTAACAGTGGAATGTTTCATTCCAGATAGTGATAAGTTCCCCTTTACTGGCAAGCTAGTAAAAACTAGTAAAGTGCAGTACTGTCCAAGCAGAGGCTGGACAACATCAGCCTGTGATACATTAATTTGCATTCTTTTACTGAGTAGGGAATTGAGATTTGAACATCATAGAATTTCAGTTATAGAAATTTGCTCATTTCTACATTTAATTGTTTAACTGTAGTTGAAGACTCCCAGAATTGCTTAAGATGGGTGGCCATATACCGATAAATTTTTTCAATAATTTATACTCACCAGCACAAAAAGCAATTAGCATCAGATGGCTATTTTCTATAAAAACAGGGTATGAAATTATTAAACTATTAATTTAAACAATATTCAAGGATACTAAGTGCTTTTAGAGCTTATTATTCATTTAATTATTGGATTAATATCCCACTTTTTCATTTAGGATGTAGAGAAAATAGCAAGGAACTGAGAAACAGAAATTTAACAGAATCCCACTCATCATTCTAAACCATAACATGGTTTAATTGTTTCTGTATGAAAGTGGCCAATGTAGTTCATTTAATAAACCAGAGAAATAAACCTGATTTAGCAGACTGCCAACTCAATTAACATTTGAGAAACAGACATACTTTATCTGCTGGCTATTATTAGATTATTATTATTATTATTATTATTATTATTATTATTATTAGAGAGCCATTATTAGATCACCATCTCAAACAAAACTGAAGGATAATGACACTAACAAAAAAACCACACATTTTTTTCTTCTTTATAATTATTATTTTTCAAATGTACCTACCATAGCTCCAGTCAGTTGTCTTTGATGTCTCTGGAAAAAAAATTAAAATAGTTAATAAAAAGAGGTCAACTCCTTCCTGAAATTTAGAATGAGATGTGTGATATTGTATTTAAAGAGATACTATCGAAAGCAATACTAGAAGCATAGTGTTAATGCCATTGGTTTACAGATTGTATTTGACATTTTATTATTAGGATTAAAGGATAAAAAAGAATTTTTACCAGAATTCCTAGGATGGCTTGAGATTCTATTACCTTTCAAAATTATACCTATTCCTTGCATCATTAGGCAGGGCCCAAACTACTGTTGTGCATGCCAGCAGTGAAACATTTGATTTCAAATAAAATAATGTAATTTGCGCAGGGGGAGTTAACACAATGATGACGAATCCCTACTTCTTTCTCCCAGTCAAGACCAACAGTAGAATAAAGAAGGAATTTTGCACTGTTAATAGAGCCAACCAGATCCCTACGTATATAGCTTGGACACTGTCTACAAAAAAAACCCTATATTTTATAGCGTTACCCTGTTAGTGACTGATTTACCAAAAACATCTAGTGAATGTGGTCTTCTCATACTAAGACTATGATATTGCAATAGATTTCTTCTGACTATAATAAACATTTACTTTTCCTCCTGGAGGCAGAAAAGCCACATATTCTGACATAAACTCTTGATTGCTATTAGTTGGCTACATAATGAGTTTACAACTTCCTCCATAGCATAATTGATGCCTCCAATGCTAAGATTACTAAAACTAATTAATTGATTTAAACTTAAAGACAACAAAAATGCAACTGACTATCCTATAATAATAACAGTAACAGAGTTGGAAGGGACCTTGGAGGTCATATAGTCCAACCCCCTGCTTACGCAGGAGACCTATACTAGGGATTCGAACCGCCAACCTTTCTGATCGACAAGCTCAGCATCTTAGCCACTGAGCCACCTAGTATCTATTGTTCATGTTTCTGTATTTAAAAAGATATGCAACTTTTATAAATGGATTCCTCTCAGAATTTTTCATACTGTTCAACATATGATCAGGTATAACTGACTGTGATCATATCCATACTAAAAATGGAAAGCTTCACCAGATGATATTCTCATTATTATCAGCCATTAAGGTTTGAGTGCTTTTAAAGAATTTGCTTCTTCAGATTATGTTGTTGTTACTAAATCAGTTGGACAAAAAGAATTAAATGAGATTGCATTTGCATAATAGTAATATAAAGAAATATTTACTTTTCCAAGTAAATATTTTTATGTGAATTATTTCAAAATATTGTTTGAAATTTAAACAACTTATGAGACTCCTATTTTTACAAATTTCCATAGATAAGAACCTACAGGGAGTATGTGAGATTTATTTCAATTAGTTGACCTGATAATTTATCAAATGTTCATACTATATTAGCATAATGTTCATAAACTAATTTTATGTAGAACTTTGATAATTATCAATCAGATATATATCATCAGCATGCAGTAATAATATGTGTTAAATGGCAGTTCCTTTTGTATTCAGAATAGCCTTTAATTATCCAATAAGACAGGTCAATAGTCCCCAAATCTAATTTACTATACTGTATGAGGTGATGAAAACCATCCTTGATGAATTCTACAAGGCATCCTGACAAATGAGGAAATAATTCATTTTGTAATATTCTTGGATCAAATATTAATATAGCACATCTTAATGTAGGTAGTAAAAAAGGCAGCTGTTGAATTAAGATTTGTTCTGAAAATTTAAATTATTTGGATATCTCAGATATTCTGTACCAAGTTATAATGATCTCTGTTTTTCTTCTCATATGGACCTATAATACAATGGGTGTGGCTTGGTGGGCGTGGCAGGGGAAGGATACTGCAAAATCTCCATTTCCTCCCCACTCCTGGGGGAAGGATATTGCAAAATCTCCATTCCTACCCCACTCTGGGGCTAGCCAGAGATGGTATTTGCTGGTTCTCCAAACTACTCAAAATTTTTGCTACTGGTTCTCTGAACCGCTCCAAATTTCCGCTATCGGTTCTTCAGAACCTGTCAGAACCTGCTGGATTTCACCCCTGAGTGAGATGCTAAAAAATATGTCAGGAATAAATCTGAACTGAAAAACTATATTCTTGTTGCAAATAATTTAACTACTGTACCAAATTAAACTTTAGTGCCTACACTTATAACATTTTCCATATAGGAGAATTAAAAATTAGTTGGAACTGTATCCAACAAAGTCCAACAAAGGAAAATTTTCCAGCTGTAATTACCTGATCCGTAACTACTATTCTAAAAATATTTAAAATATGTATATAAAAATCTGGAAAATGCTTAGTTACACCATAGTAAATAATCCATGCAATTTGGTTCTATCTGTTGAAGCTTTTGGTAACTAAAACAAACAACTACTGAAAGAGAAGTATAAGACAATTGCAGTTTGTCAGCTCTCTGTATAATTAAAATATAAACAACAAGCAACACAAGTCCAATGAATCATAATATTCTGGAGTTGGGAGAGACTATTAGGGTCATCTAGTCCAACCTTTTAAACATGCAGGAAAATTAATCATCTTTGTGACATTTTTATCTGTCTTCAAGTTAGTGTTATTATTATTAAATGTTGTTTGTTGCCCATTTTGTAATTTGAGGCTTGTTGAAATCCTCGTGACTGCCTGAACAAATCCCTACGGTTTCCTTGGCAGGAGTAGTTTGTCATGGCATTCTTCCTAGGACTGAGAGAGAATCATTGTCTTGCCCTTACCACAGATTATAGTGCTCCAAGTGTGATCTCATCAACACAGAAGCTGTCAACATTTTGCTAAACCAGTAAAACAATTAAAAATAGATGATCTCTTTGCTGGTCAAGGAAATGTTAAGTAAATTAAGTATCCCTCCTTTTTCCATATTCATTGGGACCAGAATTGGAATTGTAAATGGAGTGAAACATCTTTTAGAGCTGTTATTTATTGTCTGGGTGAACAAGTCCAATGGAGGTCCTTCCCTGTGTCACTTACTGATATAGTTGATCCTTCCAGAGAATCTCTTCTGAGTGAAGCTCAGGAGGATGCCTTTAGCTGTTGATTATAGTTTCTACCTTTGATCAAGTAAAGTAAACTGCTTTTGTAAATTATCTCCTTGACACTTTTGTCAGATTAACTATCTTTATTAAAGCTCTAGTCTGTGGTTCTTAAAATAGCTAGCATGCTGATTGATACATAGCCATCTTGAGTGAGAAGAAGAGTGAGTAGGAAGAAAGAGAACTGTATTAGCACTAAATCAGCCTAACTCTATTCATTGCCGTTTATGATGAAAACCCAGGATAATTTTCAAATGTTCCCACTATGGATATTCTACAAAGTATAGCCACTATTTATGCCAAATGAGGCAGCTGTAACTGACTGCTAATTGTGTGAGTAACATGCCAGCTGATAGTATATCTAAAGCCTCAATTTTATCAGTGACCTTGACAAAGCAAAACCAAAATAAACAGCTTTCAATGATGGGCCAGGAAAAGAATGATTTATTAGAGGTTAGCCTGGTTATTCATACAACAGCCTTCAGTATTTTATCAAAGGATGAGCTTTCTGAAACTTTACAAGGGTTAAGGAGTTTTAAAAAGATATTGTTAAACTATGGAACTTTTCAACCGTTTTATGCTCACACAAGTCTTTAACAGCTCAACTGGGCTATTGATATCTAGCAAAACAATAAATCCAAATATTCCACCCAAGAATTCAAGAATTATTCAGTTTAGTAATATTCCAGCTTCATATGACCACAGCACACTTAAATCTACAGGTAGTCCTCAACTCATGACCACAATTGAGGCAGGAATTTTGGTCATAAGTCATTGTGATCATAAGTTGAGTCACCACATGACTGGATTCAATTTTACAACCATTTTAGGTGGTCATAAAATAAGTCACTAGGGTAATTAAGCAAATTACATGGTTGTAAATCAATACAGCTTATCCAATGGATGTGATCACGTGAGCGCAGGACACTGCAACCAGTCATAAATGCAAACCAGTTGCCAAACACCCAAAATGCAATCACACAACTCCAGAAGTGATACGGAAGTTATAACTTTGAAGGCAGATTGTAAATAACCTTTCTGAGTCCATCGTAACAAGTCTATCTGACCTAACAAGACTATCTGTACTGCTACTGCTGAAATAAAAACTTACAAAGAGTTGTCCAACAGACCCATTAGAGAGAAGAGCATCTGAATGCCAGCTGAACTGACAGCATGTGTGCTGTTCAGTTTGACAGACTATAGGTCAAATAGTTTGATGAATCTGAGATCAAAGAGCTAAGTTGGAGAAATAATGACTTTGGGGCAACTATAGAACCAGCTTTCATTTATCCTGATCGTTGTATATGTACTGAATAACATATTAGAAGCTTGTCAAATGCTGAACAAATATCTATAACAACATTTAGATTCACAGGACAACCACGATACTCAGAAAAGTGGCTTGCTCCAAACTGATCCATATGTTTACCAGATATTACTGAATATCATAGCATATAGCCCAACTGTCTAACAGACTGCAGCTTTGAATATGGCAATATGGCAATAGTCAATAGTAGGGAATCTATACTGGATTACCAAGAATGATAATACTGTACTGTGTTGTAGATTACTGTGATGTTTTCTACAACCTACAATCAAATTTTAATAGCTCAAGATAATGCTGTCTGTTGACATGATAATGACCATTCTTATGAACTTTAAATGTGGATAAACAGAAGATATGTATTGCCAATAATCCATGCTATCTTCATAAGTATGCATATTATCTTGGTACTCTTCCGTCTTTTTAGTTTATTCATCTGTCCCAGAGATATTGATTCATTCAAAATAAATATATATTACTTGTCTATCTTTCTGTCAATAATGTGGCAATCTTGCTCTTTCATTCCTCAGTTAAGAAGAGAGCATATATTGTTTTGTTTTTAAAAAGCTGAGCTAAAATAGGAATTTAGTAGTTTTGCCATCTTTTGTGCTCTTTTTTTAGCAACTCAACTAGCG